GAAATCTATAGTCTCCTACCTAGAATCGACCTCTAGAGACATAGAGAAAAGAATAGGACGAAGGAATGAGAGGAGAAGGTATGTGTGCGTGCGAGGAGAGAGAGAGAGAGAGAGAGAGAGAGAGAGAGAAATCTATAGTCTCCTACCAATTTCAGCTCTGTGATTCGTCTTCGCCACACTAACCTCACTGGTTAACCCTTTAAGTACAATTTCAGAGTATAAATATAGATGCATGTATATGTGTATATAATCTATACCTAGGCTAACCATCTTAAACCTATGACCTTCTCGACTAGTCGCTGTATAGATAAATTCCCCAGTGCATAAATGCTGCAATGGCCGATACGTTCTGTAATACCGTGTGAATTTTTACTTAAAAATGAAATTTTTCCCTAGACGCATCGGTACACGGTTCCCAATACCAGTATCGAAGTCAATTTCGCGTTTACCCGTAAACGCAAAATATACACCGTGTCTACGTTTTTTGTTCTTCTCATTTTCTTTCAGTGATTCTCCCGAGACGATCGTTAAGCGCGAGTGCATAAGGATGATGGTGTTGGTGGTAGCTCGCATGGTGCAGGAGGGCAAAGGAAAAAGAATAAAAGTCAAAATGGAGCAGAGTAAGACAAAGTGGCAGAAAAATGGGGTATACATATAGCCTACAAGAAATGCAACTTTGCGCTAACCCCTTCGCATTTCATTTCGTTAGGTTCTTCTAGGGGATCTCCTCTCTCTACATTTATATCCAACGTATCAAAATACTAGCCACGACGAACATACATACCAATCGTAACTAAAAATTTTTAAATACTTGGCCTAACTATTCGTGTTCTACACGTGTACGCTCTATACAGTACCTAACAGTAAAATACGTAAAAACTGTATCCCACTTAATTCATCAGCCGATGGTTTCACGCGCGTCAAGTTGAAACGACCGTTCGAAGAATATAGCATAAGAGAGTCTTCTGCAATAGTTGACATCGAGCTCCCGACTGTTTCCCATAGATGGCAGCAATGTCGACTGCACTCGGAACAAAGGCACGGCACGGTAAAGCTTCAATTTCATCTTGGTACGCGGCTGCGTATGGACGTACCGGCGACTATAGGTGTAATCCAATACTCGATGGAATTTACGAGAGACACGGATTACAGGGAGAAATGGGGAGTGAAAAGCGTCAGAGCATCGGAGTGTTGTCGTACCTGCATACCTGCCGAGAGAATTGGACGTGATAATATTGGGATGGAATCGCATGAAGGTAGAGTGAGACAGGATACATAACCTAATTCTCAGGCTTCGGATCGATCTGTTTCCTCGTATCTTTCAATCGTTCTTCCTCGTATCTACGTTCGTTAAGTCACGCGTCGCAACGGTCAGAATATTTGAAATGGAACTACCTCAAAACAAAGCTGCAACGTTTTATGAGCGACGGCTTTATTACGTGCTTTTTTAAACCGACGGAACATTCGTTTCTGAAGCATACTAATTTCCTTTTTTTCTCTTATCGACCTTTCGGCACTAACCTTTTATTCTCGCAAGAGACTATTTTTCACAGTGTTGCGCTATCACTCTGATGAATTTCTTTCTCACCTCCCTCGCTTTTCCCTCGCCTGGCCACTCATCGCAATCATACAACGCCAAAAAAAAAAAGACGATACAAAGTTATTCTTTCGTGTGGTCATACTTTGGTATCGATTTATTGCCGTGTTTTATGATTAATATCTTTTTTTTTTCATTTTCCATAAAACCAACGTCCAATGAAATCATTTTCCGAGCTTTCGAGACTGATCTTTTGATGTGGCTCGTGAGTGTGTACGGAGCATCGATCATCCCCGCCATCTCTCTCGGCACGCCATTCGACACTGACTTTGAATAATTATTTTTTTATGTGTAGCCCTCTACATTAAAAAATCGAAAAATCTAAATTCAAGCGTACAAGATAGCTTCATTTTGTCAAATACGTTGGAGAACACGTTTTTACGCTAGCACGTAGAGGCATATAAAATATCTGTCATATATTATTAAATAAATTATTTTTAGCAGCACAAGCAACATCGAGATCGTATTCGAGTCTAGTGAATTATTTATGACGGAGCTTGGGTTGGTACGCTTACGGTAGAAAATCGGCGGAACAAAAGACCACGTTACAATTGTGCAAAAAAGGAAGCAAGAGACAGGGGGGGGGACGCCACCCAATAACATGCATATATATCGAAGACACGTAGATGAATTTTTATTTCACATCCCGACGCGTCCCATGTATACATATACGTATGGTGCAATTTTCATATTTGCAAGGAGCACTCATCGCTATGAGTAAATAGATAAATAAATATATAAATAACAAAAATTGCATACGCAAAATATCGTCAAACATCCCACACAACTCAATATTCCACGTAGTATTTGGATGAGAAATATTTACGTTTCCACGTCGATGAACATCTGTGTGCTTAACGGAGTCTTGTGCCAGATGAAAAAAGGGGGAAAAAGGAAGACAAAGACAAATCGAAGCGGCATCTGTACGCGAAGAGAGTAAACATTTTTACAGTGGCAAACTAGAGGACCCGTATAGGACTCATCAATAATTCGAAGCGTCAGGGATACCGGACGTGACCGAGCATAAATAAAATAAATTCACAACAGTTCGACTACGTAGAGAACAAAACGCAGAAAGGGTAAAAGTTAACAAAAAAAAAAAAAAATCCAAAAAATTGTCAAAAAAAATGTCGAGTGCATTTTGACAAGAATTTTTGAAGTAATCTTGATACCTGTAAATATTGTCCTAGCAGGTAAATGAGTAAATTACCGGGAAAGAATATTTCGTCTGTTTCCCTCTGTACTTACGGTGTTTAATGTGCAATCGTGCTACGGGATCCTGCGGCCACGCTGCATTATGCGCAATCAGGGCTACCAACGCCAAAACGCGCAACGCCGACTCGCTCATCCTGACTGGAGGCGTTTCTGCTGCGTCGACGTCCGCTGATCCACAATCCCGATGCACCGGGTTGTATTAACTGTATCTATTGCAACGTCCCCTACACGCCATTGTAGCGCGTGGAGCAGTCCTGCAATAGAAGAAAAAAAAAATAATCAGCTACAACAACGATCCGTTTGGAAATTACTATACAAGGATACAATTGACGTGAGTTAACCGCTTGAAACTAGGGAATTTCCCTAAGGGATAATAACTAAACTAATTTCTTAAGCCACTGTCGAATACTGATTAATTTTCCAGTGATACAAATCGCGCAGAATTAAATATTATTTTTCGTGTACACACTGTATGGCCATGGCACTCTTATGTGTTCACTACTCGCATTGAAACATTATGCTATACCGTAATGCCTGATATGGAAATAAAAATCCATTTGACAAAAGAGCGTCGCTCTCAAGATCAAAGGGATGATAAAGAATTGAAAAAAAAAAGAAAATACTAAAGTACTTCGAAAATTCGCAAAAACGTTCTTTTGAAGAGCGTAAGCTTTTATCGTGTACACGCGTTTAAATGAAAATCAATGTTACTCGGAATAAGGCTGTGTCCCTTTGCGCGACTGTAGTTTCTCACGCGATTGCGTATAAAGATTAAAGGACACATTACAGGGGCGTTGGAAATTCTTTTGGCGAATTTCAGTACCATTAGCTTTTGTTTAGAAATTTCTATCGACTACTTCGCAGCAGAGATATGGGCGATATTCGACTAAAAATCTATGAAAAATGCTTTCCGAATCCAAAAACTATGAGTAACTATACTCGAGCGCTAAAACTATTAATTATCCTTTAAATGGAAAAAAAAAGTAATTTGCTCTTTGTTAACAATTATTCACAGCTATTCAAATGAAAAAGTATTTTGAATAGATTTTCATTCGAATATTGTCCATTCCTTCTTCAGAGCCACGTACAAACCATCGGACCAATAAATTATTGCGAGTATAAAAATATTTTGAAAATATCTCATCTTCACGATATAACATTTACACAGCTGTAACGTTCAAATGAATCTGGATGGTTCTGTGTGTTTTTCCATGTTTTTTTTTTTCCAGATAAATATAAAAGTCAAAATTCAACGAAAACACAGCTGATCCATTCAATAAGAAAAAGTAGCGACAAAGTAGCTGAAACCTAGTGAGATATTATGAATAAATATTTCATCAAAATTTCCAATAAAGATTATACGTCTCTCTCGAAATATTATCACCCTGATGGAAGCGGACATTTTCAAATATAGAACGTGGATTCGTAGCAGGGGAGTGGGGTATTGCTTGAGGCAGCTAGCAGCACCCCTCCCTCCAACCCTCACAAAAAGGGGGTTACATTAGCAGCGCCATCTACAATGCCGATCCATTAGCAACAAAGTCCTAACCTCTCATAACAGAGCGAGTATTCATTATTTCATAGAAAATATGCCTACAGATGCATACGAGTGCGCACGTATGCGGCAGTACGTACAGTCCATTTCAAGTAAGATTCAATTATATGGACATTTTCAAATGTAACGCATACATTCGTAGAAAAAGAATAGTATGCTCGAGGCAGCCAGCAACGAGCCCCAAAAAAAAGGGAGTCGCATTAGCACCGCTATCTATGCAAAGAAAAAAGATTATGCCGGCTAGTGTAAGAATGCTAACCGGTAGTACATTTTATATTTAGTCTAGGTATAACACTTCGTGTTGTATGAATGAAAGTATTTTTACATTAAGCATAATACATTACTAACCGATATCTATAATAGTAAGTACTTTATAGATACTACTCTTGACAATACAAATTTTTAATATCAAATTTTTAGCATCCTCTTTTCTCTATGTACAATGCCCGATCCATTAACAGTAAAGTTCCTAGCATCTCGCATTAGAGCGAGGATCCACCACCATTGGACAAAAAATATGCGTACAGATGGATACAAATGCATTGACGCATACGTATAGTCCATTTCAAGGAAGATCCGATTATATACGCAGATCAAAGGATAACGATTGAGAACCGGGTGGTCTTGGGGGGACAGGAGTACAAGGAGAGAGGGAGGGTGACCGTAGAGGGTTTTCGCAGAGCTCACGAAGTCCGTAAATTATGCATAACGTCTCGTTCCAAGGCATCCATTTGCCTTTGGTTCGCGACTGTGGCGACAGTCAGGGCTGCTCGGGTGGCGCCAGTGTCCTCTGTAATGAACGGCTACAGTCAAGCAGACAGTGGGAAATATAACGTAAAACGGTTCGGACGGGGTGCTGCTGCCCTATTATCATGGCTGATTCCTACAGGCTCGAGGGGCAATTAATATCCCAGTTGAATTTTCCAAGGCGGTACAACGCAACGATATAAGTATTCCGCTGGGATTTGTTTCTCGGGATCCGTACTGCACAGCAGCAACGGCAGGTACTAAATACGACGAGGTTTCCGTGTGTATACTCTGGGTAGGGCTGGTAAAGTTCCGGCGGTGTCTCACAGGTGGCGCGTCAAGCGCTGTTATACCAAGGGCGTAACAACTCGGGGGAATTATTCCAAGGTAATTTTACGAAAATTAGCACTTGCATGGGAATCTCTGCGCTTCTGGTTATGTTATGAAGTTGGGGTGAGGTTAGGTTGGGTTAAGTTAGGTTAGAGAGGTACGTAATGACGTACGAGGGGACATAGACGAATACACCATGCACTAAGGAGACCAGATACGTAACGGGTATGTCGATGAATAATAATGTGTGCTAGATGGCGCGCGTTTTGAATTAACAGTACGCAACGATGCCGAGGTACTTATAAATAGAATAATAAACAGAACGAGATGGAATGCGGAATGAGACCATGTGATTCGCGCGAGGGACAGAACTTATAAGGGATCGCGGGTCACCCCTTGATTAGGGTACGTAACGACGCTGGTACGATTGGAAATTGTACGAAGGCGAATTATTGAAGATTAGAAGGAATTCGTAAAAACGTTGGCGTCAGTGTAGACAAGGTAAGTCGCGTGAAAATTGCTTGTTGAAATATAGAGAAGAGAGAGGACGAGGGAGGGTGGAACATAAAAAAATATGCACTCGCAAAAAAAAACTCTAGTACGAAAGAAATACCGTGCAAATGATACGTCGATACTGGAAAGTGGAACGCATGTAATTTATAGGTGAGGAGAGCTAACGATTGAACAACAAAATAAAAAAAGGAGGAGAGAGAGAGAGAGAGAGAGAGAGAGAGAGAGAGAGAGAGAGAATAATAGGTAATATAAAATGGACGCTGTATAAATCGTTCCACCAGGCGTGAATTAGCAAGAGGAAGGGATGTGAAATAGAAGGCAAGATGGAAATCACGGGCGTTATTATTCGAGGCGTAAGCGAATAATGCATTTCGGTCGGGGCAGAGGGCACCACCGTAGAGATATATAGAACTAGTACCCGTCCAGCGACCGCCGACCATTTAAATTCAGTGCCTCGACTGAATTTTAAATTAACCCGAATTATCTTAATAAGGATCCGACGTTCGCGATGCGACTGTCGCTACTACCGCCGTTACCGCCGCCAGGGTCGCCACTATCGCAATTGCAATTCCACTCTCAATTTGTATGCATTGAATTTAAAACAATGCAGCTCTCGCGCTCTTTCCACCCAATAAAAATGAGTCGTCGTCATTCTGACGCAAGGTACAACACTAATTCTTAACCTATATAGCTTAGTTTTGTCCGTTCCCTTTACGTAACTTCGTACAAAATCCGACTGGTTAAAATTGCCGGCGTTGAATCACAGATGGCGACACTTTCCGCATCCCGACCAACCAATCACGGCGTCGTATTTAAATGCACGAATTTTCAAATCACAATTTTATTTCACAATCGACCCCTAACATCGTATATACCCACTGACTCGTACGCTTACTTACATTTGTCGATGAAGCTTAAATCACCTTGAAAACAGATAAGAAGTATGGATTTTAGGTTATGAGAGACATTTTTTTCATTTAAATCTATTCCCGATATGATACTAAGCACAATAGCAAGACACCTTATACCAACCAGAGCGCCGTTACCTTACTTCGCCTTCGGATTACGTATTATATCGATACAGAGCTTTTCGCAAAAGGCGAACGTCGACGTAGAACATTGTTTCCCTCGAATAAAATGTACCAGTACCAACGCTAAACACCCTACCACGGCAGCGCCAACACAAGGAAGCCAAAGTCACTATCGAATGACGTAATCATGAAAAACCCGTACATATGTATGTACAGAGACTCATACATTTTACACGCGTTACACATGCGTATCCGTACACGTCGTAAAGTTCATTTATTTTTCTTACAGCCAGGCTCTCCGTCTTATTTACCAGGAAACGATGTATATCTCAGAAGATATAATAATAACGATAAGAGCACGTCCCCCCCCCCCATACTCCATTCCTAAAACTTTTAACCACGAACTCAATGTTTGTTTTACGTAACAAAAAGCGACACAGCCCACGAAGCGGCACTTGCAACAAAAAAGTATAACAACAGGCGCAAGGGGAGAGGAGAGTGCTCATTATCAATACGGAACGTCCTGTAGTTCGATTTGCGTGATGATAGAAAAAGGAGCATTGAGGCCAAAAGTGACGAGACACAGGAAGTAGATGCAAACCGAGAAATATCGGTATGACGTGTTTGCTTTTTTGTTTTTTTTTTTCCCCGAAGGAAAACACGGTACCCGAGATAAAATGACAGATGGGGCCAATAGTTGCAAAAGTGTGAAGAGGGGAGCAGGGCTGGTAAATTAGAACGCTGCTTTACCGGCGGATCGAATGTGTCACCAGGGGGAGGTATCATAATAAAAAAGACATTGAATAAGTTGGCAAAGCCCAGAGGGAATGTTAGATCGAGAGCAGAAGCCGACGATTTCAGATATAATATGAAAAGTTAAAGTTTTCCTAGCGTACGAGACGGAGTCGCCTTTAGTTCAATCCCTGAGAATGAAGTATAGGGCAGTGGGCTCGTGTGACCTTACGATATTAACTGTCCAAACCAGCTAGACAAGTCAGCCCGAAAAGATTGAGGTCACTGGGTGATATCGTAAGTGAGATAATTTTTTTAACATTGTTTTCTCTAGTTACAACTTTTC